TTCCACATATGATTTAGGTTGGTACCTGGACTAATGTTAAAATTCTAATTGATATTGTCAATACTAGAATGTAAAAATGAAGAGATTGAAGAAATGCCAGAAACAGAATTCAAAAATTGATTGTAGGATTACTTAGAAGTAATCAGAAGCAAATACATGAAGTAAATAAATCTGTACATGCCAGAAAGAAAATTTTTTTCATGAATTTGAGATTTTTTTAAGAGAAATTAAAATTTTCATTGGAAAGAATAAAAATTAAATCCATTTATTTATAAGAATAAAAATCCAATAAAAATTTTATTGTAAAGAAGAAGTCGATAGAACAAATAAAAAATGCGGCGGAAAGCCTTTACAACAGAATCAGTGAAGCAGCAGAAACAATATCCAAGTTAGAAGACAAATTGCTGGAAATTTTAGTCAGACAAAAGAAGAAGAAGAAGAAGAAGAAGAAGAAGAAGAAGAAGAAGAAGAAGAAGAAGAAGAAGAAGAAGAAGAAGAAGAAGAAATTAGAAAACTAAAAAACATTGTTGGAAATCTATGGGATACCATCAAACACCCAACATATGGGTCATGGGAAGAGAGAATGGATTAGAAGTCCTTTTTAGTGAAATAATTACAGAAACCTCCCCAGTTTGGAGACAGAAAGGGACATCCAAGTACAAGAAGCACATAGAACTCCTAATAGACATGACTAGAAGAGATCTTTACCACAACATTATAGCCAGACTCTCCATAGTAAAACATAAAGATTATAAAATGTACACAAGAAAAATGCCAGTCTATTTACAAAGGATTTCCAAATAGACTCACAGCTGACTTACCAGAAATGCCACAGGCAAGGAGAGAACGACGTGATATATTTCAAGTCTTAAGAGAAAAAAACTAAACCCAGAATACTGTAACCTGCAAAGTTCTCATTTATGAATAAAGGGCATATAAAGACCTTCCATAACAAACATATTGAAAGAATTTCTTACCACTCATCTAGCCTTACAAAAGATGTTCAAGGATATGCTGCACACAGAACCACAGAAACATGCTCATCACAATGAAAGGTCAAAGCAGAAACTCTTCCAGTAAAGGTACAAAGGAAATCCAAAATAAACAACAGGTATATTTATGGAAAAATGGCAGGGCCAAGTCATTACTTATCAATAGTCACCTTGAATGTAAATGACTTCAATTCTCCAGTTAAAAGACACAGACTGGCTGAATGGGAAAAAAAAAATCTATTTGCTGCCTACAGGAAACACATCTCACCAACAAAGATACATGCAGACTTAAAGTGAAAGTATCAAAAAAGATATTCCATGCCAACAGAAACCAAAAAAGAGCTGGTATAGCTATCCCAATATCAGAAAAAATAGACTTTAACACAAAAACAGTTGGGCATTATGTAATGATTAAGGGATCAATTCAACAGAAAGATTTACTATAATAAATGTATGCACACTTAATTACAGGGCACCTAGTTATTTAAATAAAATGTTGATGGATCTAGAGGGAGATATAGACTCATACAATAACAATGGAAGACTTCAGTACCCCACTTTCAGCAATGCAGAGAACAACCAGATACAAAATCAACAAGTAAACAACAGTTAATCGACGCTATAGACCAAATGGACCTAATGGATATCTACAAAACTTTTTATTCTACAGTTGCAGAATACACATTCTTCTCACTAGTGCATGGAACTTTCTCTAGGATAGACCACAGGCCAGGTCATAAAGCATGTCTCAGCACATTCACATGCATCTTCTCTGACCGCAATGGAATGAAGCTGGAAATCTACAACTCAAGAGTCTCTAGAGCACACAAAAACACATGGAACCTGAACAGTCTGCTTCTGAATGAACAGAGGTCATAGAAGAAATGAAAAAACTGTTGATTAATAGGTTTTTTTATACTATTTGTTGAAGTCTTTACTTAGTATAGAGTTAATCTTCTGTGTATAAAGTTAATTGAAAATAGATATTAGTAAAAAATAAGAATGGGAATAGGAGAGGGAGAAGGAAGAAGGGTAGGGGGTGGGGAGGAGGTTGGGTAGGAAGAATCACTATCACAGTGTTCCTAAAGTTGTATTTATGAAATGCTTTAAGTTTGTATACCTTAGATAAAAGGTTTCTGGGGGAAAAACAAATCTAGTCACAGAAACATATACAACACTTACCATTTCTATAAGGTCCAAAATCAAGTAACATTACATGATACTCATATATCGGGTTTTTTAAAAAAGATTTATTTATTTGAAAGAGTTACACAGAGAGGAGAGGCAGAGAGAGAGGGAAAGAGAGAGAGAGAGAAAGAGAGAGAGAGAGAGGTCTTCCATCCACTGGTTCACTCCCTAACTGGCCACAACAGCTGGAGCTGGGCTGATCTGAAGCCAGGCGCCAGGAGCTTCCTCTGAGTCTCCCACACACGGGTATAGGGGCCCAAGGACTTGGGCCATCTTCCACTGCTTTCCCAGGCCATAGCAGAGAGCTGGATCAGAAGTGGAGCAGCCGGGACTCAAACAGGCGCCCATATGGGATGCTGGCACTGAAGGCAGTGGCTTTACCCACCACAACACCGGCCCCATCTTCATATATTATTTAGTAATGTTTACATTGTGATAAAATGGTTAGGTTAGGAAACAAAAAAGTTAAACAGAAATCATGTGCATGTTTCTTGGCAAGAGGTAGAGAAATGAAATAAGGTAGAAACACAAAATAGATACAGATACTGGTAATATTCTAATTCTTAAGTATGAGTGGTGATTCATATGGGTGTTTTATTAAGAACTACAAAGTGTATTTTGGTTTATGCATTAAAATACACCTAATGACAAGGGAAAAAAAGATCCTACCTCTTTTTTAAAAAAAATATTTATTTATTCGAAAAGCAGAGTGGCAGAGAGAGAGGGAGGCAGAGAGAGACAGAGAGAGAGAGAGAGAGAGAGAGGTATCTTCCATCCACTGGTTCACTCCCCAAATGCCCACACAGGCAAGTTAGGCCAAGTCAAAGCCAGAAGTCAGGAACTCCATCTGAGTTTCCATGTGGGTGGCAGAAACTCAAGTACTTGGGTTACCATCCACTTTCTCCCAGGTGCACTGGCAGGAAGCTGTATTGGACATAGAATAGACAAGACTCAAACCAGGCACTCCAAGATGGGATGTGGGTGTCCCAAGAAGCAGCTTCACTCCTGTACCACAACACCCACTACTGTCCTTCCTCTTAATAGTACTATAACGAAATAAAAAATAAAAAGAATAGTGCTATAATGAAAACTAAATTTCAACATGAGTTTTGGGGGATAAGCATTCAAACCATAGCAGAATATTGCCTGAAAAGGAGCATGAGGATGAATTTTGCCAAAATTCATTGAATTCAAACATATAGTGTCTATGCATTTTATTGTTTATAATTAACATCTCCATACACATAATAATAATAAAGAAAAATAAAAATAAACTTTTAAGGAGTAATTCAGTATTGCTTCTTAGAAACAGAAGTTGTAATATCAACATCCTGAACTTATCTACTCAAACAAAACAAATCAGTCTGTCATCATGTTCTCCCAACCCAAGAACCTAGACATGGTAGAGAAATAAACAAGAGTGATGCTGAATCATCAGAGAAAAGAAATTAAAAACGTAACCAGCTGACCTCAGTGGGCTTTTACTGCAGCCACACATCACTGGAAATCCCTTACAGAGGAACTCTGTGGTTTTGCTTTACTCACAGGCTTAGTGGTTAATCTGTAGGAGGAACTACAAGACAGTCACTAAAAGTATGAAAGACCTAATAATAATAATTTTTTACCTTCAAAAAAAATGTAACCAGTTTGCATGACATCATGTCTGGCTAAAATATAGAGATGGAAAAAGGAGCCCCATTTCTCACCAGTCAAAAGTAAACCTAAGATTAGTCAACTAATAAGTAGAACATAATGCTATTTTTCTGTAACTTTTTCATAGGAAAAAAAATGAGATCTTTGTATAAAGACTTCCAAAATCAGGATGATAATTTGTGAGCCCTAAATCTTGAAGAAATGATACTTTATTTTATTTTTTAAAAGCTTTATTTATTTATTTGAAAGTCAGAATTACAGAGAGAGGTAGACAGAGAGAAAGGTCTTCTATCCTCTGGTTCATTCCCCAGATGGCCGCAACAGCCAGAGCTGCGCTGATCCGAAGCCAGGAGCCAGGAGCTTCTTCCGGGTCTCCCACGTGGGTGCAGGGACCCAAGGACTTGGGCCATCTTCTACTGTTTTCCCAGGCCACAGCAGAGAGCTGGATTGGAAGAGGAGCAGCCAGGTCTCAAACCGGCGCCCATATGGGATGCCAGCGCTTCAGGCCAGGGCGTTAACCCGCTGTGCCATAGCACCGGCCCCATGACACTTTATTTTAGTGAACTACCAAATCACTTATGGGAAAAAGTCATTCTTAACTATTTCTCTTTCTCCTCCTATGTTTGTTTTCATAACTATTTCAATAATAAGAATTGTAGTAGTAGTATTAAAGACCTGTATTAACAGCTATTTCCAGTTTATCAACTTTTTTGAAAAAAAAAAATCAAGTTGTAAACTTCTATTCCAAACAAAAAATGAAGTTCTTAGGAATCTCAGCTTGACCAGATAGGAAACGATTTTAAGACTTTCATGGTGCATTGAGGAAAACTAAGTTTTTTTTAAAAACACACATTTGTCATTACCAAAAAAATAAAAACATCTTTAGATGAAAATAACAAATACCCATGCTGCATAGGTAATGCAGATATTTCCAATAATCTGTTCAGTAGGAAAAAAGCAAACACGTAAGTTCTTCAGCTGAAATCTTTAGTTAATTTCCTATTGCAGGGATTTCATATTCGCTTCCTCTTGTTGGATGACTAAACCAGATGATGGTAGAGATGGTAGGTGGCATTTACGCAGCTCCACCCTGCTCAGCCTCCTGGGCGAACAAATTCTCAGCTAGCAGATTCACTGCCTTTATCTTTTCCCTGTCTTGCGGTTTAGGGTTATCTGGACATCTGTGTGTGTAACTGAAGTTGTGGCAATACCAACACTAAGGTGGGTCTCATCTCCTGGATTTTCCTTATCCTCTTCATTGACGTTCTCTGGGCGGTCTTTAGCAAGGAGGACCCCTGCTGAATCATGGCCTATAACCCCAATACGTACCCTGTCTCATGTGTCTACTTTGCTCTCCTCCAACCTGGCTGTCAGCACCTCTCACCCCTTCTTCCTGCACAGGAAGGATGGAATACTGGGGTCCACACCCCTAGGGTCTCCACATGGAGTAAGGTGGGCATTTCACCTGCAGTGTGGTGGGTAGGGTTGGGCCTGGTCCCTCCTTTTCCCCACTTACACTATTCTGGAAGCTGTGCTGGTAATGGCATGAATGGAACGTATAAAGATGACGGTCCTCTGCATATTTGCTGCCTGTAACAGTCGCTGCCTCCTCACCCTTTTCTCCTTCAACAACCTCAGACTGCACAGTCTCCATCATCTCCTACACTGTGAAGGTACTTCCTGAGGTTATTCTTCCCTACGCAGTCTGGTGTGCAAATATATCTTCCTTAATATCATTCCTGCTGATGAAACCAGACCCATTTCTTTTTTCTTCTTCCTTTTTTTTTTTTTTCCCACAGGCAGAGTGGACAGTGAGAGAGAGAGACAGACAGACAGTAAGGTTTTCCTTTACCATTGATTCACCCCTCAATGGCCGCTGCGGCCAGAGCACTGCGCTGATCCTAAGCCAAGAACCAGGTGCTTCTCCTGGTCTGCCATGCAGGGCCCAAGCACTTGGGCCATCCTCCACTGCACTCCCGGGGCCACAGCAGAGAGCTGGCCTGGGAGAGGGGCAACCGGGACAGAATCCAGCCCCCCAACTGGGACTAGACCTGGGGGTGCTGGCGCCGCAGGTGGAGGATTAGCCTATTGAGCCGCAGCGCCGGCCCAGACCCATTTCTTACACTGAATCATTTTACTGTTCCCAAAACCTTCCTTGCAGATAAACTACGCCCACCTAAAAATCACATTGCTAAACAACAGACGAACATGGGGCCGGCACTGTGCCAGAGTAGGTTAAGCCTCTGCCTATGGCTTTGGCATCCCATATTGGCACTGGTTCGTGTCCTGGCTGCTCCTCTTCTGATCTTGCTCTCTGCTTACAGGCAGGGAAAGGAGAGGAAAATGGCCCTAGTGCTTGGGCCCCTGTACCTGCATGGGAGACTCAGAAGAAGCTCTTGGCTCCTGGCTTCCAATAGGCCCAGCTCCAGCTATTGCAGCCATTTGGAAAGTGAACCAGTGGATGGAAGATCTTTCTTTCCATCTCTCCCTCTCACTGTCTGTAACTCTACTTCTCAAATAAATAAATAATTTTTTTTAATTTTTAAAAAGAATAAAAGAGCAAATAGTAAGGGGAAACTAGTGCCACAGTTGTCTCCTGGCTCCTAAAAATACAGAAGCTCCGTAAGATGTTTCCTTTGGAAAAAAAAAATCACCACTTACATTGATAATAGAATGCGAGGACTTTGGGCTACAATTCATATATGGCAAAGTACACATATTCTTCTTCTCATTGTAACCCAATGTAACCCAAAATCTTACTGAAAATCAGAAAGTAAAAATGCAACAATTCATAAGCACAGAGAGAATGAGAGAAAAGATACTAGCAGTCAAGAGATGTCAACAAAACAAAATTATGATGACCAACTTAGCAGACTAGAGGAAGCTGAAACTAAATGTTTGCAACAGGGATGAGGGTGGCAAAACCAAGATTTAGTTGCCAAACTCTCCAAAGGGCCAGAATTATGACTACAAGTTATCTCTGAATGCCTGAAGCAGATGAGGCTGAGAACAAGAGGAGGGGTTGATGAGTCACATAAAAGTAATTCAACCACAGACCCTCCTCCCCACTCAGCACAGTCACAAAACACCCCCACTCCTCTGCAGAAGGCTAGGAATTATTACCAGGGAAAGTCACCACCAAAATCTCCCTGTTTAGGAATACCAGGAACATATGGCGCATGACGGGGGCAATTCACTGGCAGCACAGACTGGAGGCGAAAGTGTGCATTCTAAACAAACAATGAGATTCACCAACCCACAGCTCCCAGAGCCCTCTGCCACCACCATCCTGGAAAGAAATCGAAGGATTCCTTGCTGCAGAAAGTGACCGGCCCCAGAAAGGAAGGCTAACAAATACTGGCCAGAAACAGCCTGATCCCTGACCAGTCACTTTGCTATCAACTCTACCACTGGCTGCATCTCAGATCCGCAGAGCTTGCATTGCCCAGGGTCAGCTAACATTTGAGGAAAGCCCCAGGCTGGAAAGAAAAACAATTGGTTTGTGCAACCTTGCAAAGAGAGAAAAAATAGGTTATATATAAAATATTAGAGACTATAATAACAGTCTTCACAATGAAATAGGAACAATGCCCTCATAATTTTGAGGAAAAATATTCAAACATACAGAATTGTATGCCCATGAAAACCACCAATCATGAATAAATAAATTTTATTTATTTATTTATTTGAAAGACACACTTACAGAGATAGATAGAGAGATACAGAGAGAGTAAGAGAGACTCTCTGTCCATTGGTTCACTCCCCAAATGGCCACAATGGCTAAAACTGGGCCAGGCAGAAGCCTGGAGCCCAGAGCCTCATTTGGGTCTATTCATGGGTGGCAGGAGCCCAGGTACTTGGGTCACCATCTGCTGCCTTCTCACGTACATTAGCAAGGACTGAATCAGCAGTGGACAGCCGGGACTCAAACCAGCATCCACATGGGATGCCCGTGTCATCCCAGATAGCAGCCCAACACGTTACATTTTAAAAGTAACATTCTTCTTCCTTCTTTCCCTCCTATCTCCCTCTCTCCCTCCCTTCAATCCTTCCTTCTTTTCTTCCTTCCTTCCTTTCTTCTTTCTCCCCCCCGCTTCTTTCTTCCTGCTCCCTCCCATTTATTCAAAGCTCAGAGCCACAAAGAGAGAGGGAGAGATACAGAGAGAGAGGGAGAGATCTTCCATCTGCTGGTTCACTCCCCAGTTGGCTGTAACAGCCTGGGGCTGGGCCAGGCCAAAGCCAGGAGCCAGGAGCTTCTTCCCAGTCTTCCACGAGGGTGCAAGGATCCAGGCACTTGAACAATCCTCCACTGCTCCCAGGCACATTAGCAGAGAGCTGGATTGGAAGTGGAAGAGCCAGGACTTGAACTGGCACGCATATGGATGCTGGTGACACAGGCTGCACCTTAATGTCACAATGCCAGCCCGAGCTGATTTCTAAACAAGATTGAAGTTTAGGTCTTGGCTCATTTTTTGCCTGTCGGTGTTCCAGCACCATTTATTATAAATCTACTCTTCCTCAAACTGAATTTCTAACTTGCCTTTGCAAAAAATTAATTGGGCCACATTTGTGTGGTCTGCTTCTGTGTTCTTTATCTGTTCTATTGATCTGTATGTCTATCCTTCTGCAAATACTACACTGTCTTGATCACTGTAGCCATAACATAGGCCTTAATATCAGATACAGTGATTCCTCCGTGCTATTAATCTTTTTCAAGACTGTCCTAGTCTCTGAAACTTTCCATATAATTTTAGAACAGACTTGCCCAGCCCTTTCTGTTGTAGGCATTTGGGGAGTGGGTGAATCAGCAGATGGAGGATTTCTCTCTCTCTCTCTCTCTCTCTCTCTTTCTCTGCTCTGCCTTCCAAATAACATAAACAAATTTTAAAAATCTTAAGTCACAGCCAGGTATGGAAGAATACACACATATGTTAGCAGTGGTATTGGGATGGGATTGGAGAGAATGCAGATCGGAAGTCTTTCAGCTTTCACCTTACATATTTCTGTATTGCTTGAAATTAGACAGAGCGAGAGCGAGAGCGAGAGCGAGAGAGAGAGAGAGGAGAGAGCTCTTTCTTCCACTGGAGATCTTCCATCTACTGGTTCATTCCCCAGATGGCCACTACAGCTGGGGCTGCACCAGGCTGAAGCCAGGGGCCAGGAATGCTGCTCAGGTCTCCCTCACAAGGACAGCAGGCACATCATCCTCTGCTTCCCAGGTGAATTAGCAGGAAGCTAGACCGGAAGCAGAGGATCCAGGACTGGAACTGGCCCTCCAATGTGAGATGCCGCGGGCTCAAGCAGCAGCTTAACCCGCTGCACCACAATATAGGTACCAAAATTACTTTTAGAATAAAATTGTTATGTGTATTTTTAAATTACTTACAATGTTTTCAGATGTATGAGGTACGGGATGCATATTAATTAATGCCAACATCAAGTAACTCTTACTCTTAGGCCATAAGTCAAATTGAACTTAATTGATTTAATTGAGGGTATAGAAATGTTATAATACAGGCAGCCTAAAAATTTAACTTTTCACCTAATTTATTATACTCTTTTAGATTTATGCTGTTTTTTAGGGATTGTACCCAAATATTACTAAACAACTCCCTTGGTATTTTAGATAAAGGCAAATCTGGTCCTCATTAGTGAGTCATTCCTTCTGGCTCTGATGAAACAAACATGGGATTTCAGAGGCATAGAAATGGACCATTGACCCACACTTAGATAGTAAACAGGAGAGATTATAAAGTTCTTCCATTGTTTTCATATGCAGAAGATGCTGTTAATCCATTCCTTCTGAGGAATGGATTTTTTTTTTTAAGATTTATTTATTAATTTGAAAGATAGCATCACAGAAAGGTAGAGGTAGAGAGAGATTTTCCACCAGTTGGTTCTCTCCCCAGATGGCTGCAACAGCCGAAGCAGAGCTAATCCAAAGCCAGGAGCCAGGAGCTTTATCTAGGTCTCCCACCTGGGCACAGGGGCCCAACTTGAGCTGTCTTTTTCTGCTTTCCCAGGCACATCAGCAGGGAGCTGGATCAGAAATGGAGCAGCTGAGACTTGAACCAGTGCCCATATGGGATGCCAGCACTGCAGGCATTGGCTTTACCCACTATGCCACAGCACACACCCGAGCAATAGATTTTAAACTTATTTTCTGAGGACCTGTTGGATTTGTGTCTCTCCATCCCATACTCAAAACCTCCTGTGACACTTGCAACTTGCATTCCCATGGTTGTAGCGTTCATCTGTCAGGGCTTTTGTTTGCAAGCAACTGAAACGTAGCTGGCTATCTTAAGTAAAAGGGAAATGAAAGGCCAGATGGGCAGGCTGGAGAAATGGGAATATTCTCAGGGCGGACTGTGTGACCTGATCAAACAATAGGAGTCTAGGCAACAGTCACCCGGCAGGACAACAAGGCCTCTGCCTCTGTGACAAATCTGATTTCCATCTGTTCCCACAACCATTCCCATCCTTTGCATGACAAAGTGCAGGAGAGAACATCCAAAAGGATGATTGAAGGTCAAACATTGCCTCAATGGAACAAGGCCAAGGTGGCTACCACCTCTTACAAGAATACATTAGGAGATTTTTGTCAAAGGGCAGATGAGAGAGCTAAAATAGAATCCCACAGTTTGCATGGCGGCCCTGATCATGGGTAAAACTACCTGGCCCTAATAGGGAACTATTGTTAACTTACGGGTACAATGCTCCAAAAGTACTAAGAGCACAAGAGCACAGCTCCTGAATCAGCCTTGCTTCTTCTTCTTCTTTTTTTTGTAAAACCACTCATTTTCATGTAGGAATAATGTATACTTTCAATCCCAACAAAGTATAAAGTGATCATGTTTCATTAATAATCATAAACAGCCAAATACTAGGGAAGGGAGTACTTTAAAGTATAGAGAAGGTAGAAGGAGAGGCAAGAATGACCCCTGGACTGAGCAAAGCCCACACGCAGCTGCATCCCTGCACCCAGCGCCTACATCCCACCACCACCACTGCCACCGCCGCGCCCAGCAGAAGGACTGAAGGGGATGCTAAAGGAGTTTAGGCCAAGGCGAAGGGCGAACCACAAAGATCCACAAGGTTGTCTGCTAAATAACTCCTCCAAAGCCAGAACCGAAGCCTAGAAGGGCCCTTGCCAAAAAGGGAGAGAAGGTGCCCAAAAGGGAAAAGGGAGAAGTTGATGCTGGCAAGGATGGGAATAACCCTGCAGACAATGGAGACGCCAGACGGACCAGGCCCAGAAAGCGGCAGGTGCCGGAGACGCCAAGTGAAGCGTGTGTGTTATTAATAACTGTGCGCTCCTGGTAACTATACCATTTGAGATACTATTTTTTTTATCAAGTTTTTACAAAAGTGCAGAGTTTTGTTTTACTTTTTTTTAAGCTATGTTGAACACAGCTTAACACTTCACTATTGTTTTGGAAAGGAGCATGGGTCACTAACAGAAGGATCTAAAGCTGGATTGATGGGAAAACTCCTTTCCCTTCGATTTTTGAGAGATGTCCTCTTAGCTCTCAGGAAGGATTCCTTGCCATTGACACACAGGCACCAGGGCATAAAACTAAATTCAATTTTACGCCCTCTTCCTCCTCCCTGTCTGCTTTCGGCATCGCCTTAACTCCCTCAAACCCAGAGACCTGCTGGACCTGTTCCCCAAAAATGTGTTATCTGGACTTCATAGTGACCCCACTGAGGTGGTGTCCCCCAAAAGGGCAACAGTTCCTTTTCTAGATAGTGGCTCTTCAAACTGACCATTCTGTCATTTTCATTTCCTTTCCTGAAAGTCAGGGTCAGCTTGCAGAAAGTCGCTAAATAACGTGCCTGATATGAAGCGGCAACCCTCACAGCACACTTCCCCTTCTCAGACCTCCCATGAAGAGTTCGCTGGGTTTCATGGTGGCTTTCTGATTCTGGTGGTCCAGTGAAGAAGGGAGCTGAAAGTTGTTCTGTTCTGCTTGTACGTGACTGACTGCCCATGTCCTGCCTGAAATACCATGATTGTTTATGACAAGAATCTTCAACAAAGCTGGATACACGCGGTGCGCCGGCCGCGGCGCGCCAGCCGCGGCGGCCATTGGAGGGTGAACCAACGGCAAAGGAAGACCTTTCTCTCTGTCTCTCTCTCTCTCTCACTGTCCACTCTGCCTGTCAAATAAATAAATAAATAAAGCTGGATACAGTTTGGCTTGGGGGGGGGGTAAATAAAACAAAGTATATACAAGGCAAAGAACAGCCTATTATGGGTCATTCTTCTCAGCTGTAGGCAATTACAATCAGCTTTAAATAAATAAAGATGATGGCTTTAACAAATGCTGTAATATCCTTGCCCCCTAAAGTCCGGCTAAAATGACACTAAATTGTTCTGTTTTAAAATATATCTAATTTAAAGATTTTGTAAGCTAAAAAGAATTTGTGAGGGAATCTGAGATAAATAACTGATTTACACTATAGAGAAAAAGAAAAAACGCTTTGAGTTGATAGTGCCATATGCTGCTAGAAGTGCTGGAAATGTAAGGATTGGTTGCAAGAGCTTACAGGAACCTTCGTAACTCTAAAATCCATGCCCTAATCTTGATCAGATTAGCCACTGTCCTTTCCTTCTCCTTCTGCTATGGAAGACTAGAGCGTTATTTTTCCCTTTGAAAGGGGTAAAACAGAGGGCAAAATTAATGGTAATAAAGAATGTAGGTGGGTCTAGCACTGTGGCGTAGCAGGTAAAGCTACCGCCTGCAGTGCCAGCAACCCATATGGCCGCCAATTTGATACCCAGCTGCTCCACTTCTGATCCAGCTCTCTGCTTTGGCCTGGAAGAGCAGTGGAAGATGGCCCAGGTCCTTGGGCCCCGGCACCCATGTGCAAGACCAGGAAGAAGCCCCTGGCTCCTGGCTTCGGATCAGCACAGCTCTGGCCAGTTGCAGCCAATTGGGGAGTGAACAAGCAGATGGAAGACCTCTCTCTCTCTCTGCCTCTCCTTCTCTCTCTGTGTAACTCTGACTTCCAAATAAAATAAACAAATCTTTTTTAAAAAAATAGGTAGTAGGGGGTTAAAAATGAGGGATTAAGTGAATATTTGCATAATCAATGATGAGCATCAACAATTTCTTTCAGGACGTTGCAGCTAGGCTGTATCTTTCAGGCAAAACTTTATTGGAAGACTTTTATCTGGGAATCAGAACCAGTCCTAGGATTCAGACCTAAAGACACTGATGTTGAGGGTTTCCCAACAGGACCATGCAGCCAGATCAGCCCTTGAATGAAACTCACAATCAAGGAGACTCGCCTGTGCACTCAGCATTTCCAATTTTTTTTTTTTACCCCCATTCTTAAATATGAGCAAACACTCATGGGATTATAGAATTCAGTAAGCACTTAACAGGAAAAATGGTGATGACAAAAATTGAACAAAGGCCCAGCCCTGGCTGTTGCAGGCATCTGGGGAGTGAACAAGTCTTTGGAAGATCTCTCCTCTCTCTGTCTCTACCTCTCAGCCTTTCAAATAAAAGTAAAAATAAATGAATTTTTACAAATTAAGTAAAACACATAAAATTTTGAAGTGGATTATTTCTGAGAATTGCAAATTTAGACAAACTATCAATCAAGCATATCAATCAATATTTTAGCAGGAAAAGAATGGTGTCATCTGGGGCAGGGGATGGGGGAAACAGGTAACGGAGGAGGTTTAATAAAGAGATGGACTATACAGTTTTGGGCAGATTACTCTTACCGTGCCCATGCAAGAAGGGAGGAATGAGTTGCTCATTCCCAGAGGGTACCTGTATGCAGAGGGCCACAAGACCAGAGCTCCATGCTTTAGCAGAGGATGCAAACAACTGCCTCAACCTAGCAAGAAGGAGGTCAGGAAACCAATACCCCAGCCTCACCCTCCATCTTCCTCCCTCCGAGCTCGTGCCTGTGCCTCCCATTGGCCACACACCAATGAAAGTCAGATGGCAAATGACTTTGATGCGGTCTATAAAAATTGGTCTCTGGGGCCAGTGCTGTGGTGCAGCGGGTTAAAGCCCCGGCCTGAGGTGTTGACATCCCATATGGGCGCCGGTTCGAGACCTGGCTGCTCCTCTTCCAATCCAGCTCTCTGCTGTGGCCTGGGAAAACAGTAGAAGATGGCCTAAGTCCTTGGGCCCCAGCACCCACGTGGGACTCAGAGGAAGCTCCTGGCTCCTGGCTTCGGATCGGTGCAGCTCCAGTCTTTGCAGCCATCTGGGGAGTGAACCAGCAGATGGAAGACCTCTCTCTCTGTCTCTACCTTTCTCTGTAACTCTGTCTTTCAAATAAATAAAATAAATCTTTAAAAAAAAATTGGTCTCCATGGAAATCAATAGGGTGGATAAAGTGGAGAAAATAAGTTAAAACATGTAAAGACTTGAGAATAATCTCACCTTTTGAATACCTAATCTATTTTGGCTATCATTGTTGTTGATGTTGTTAGTTTCATCACCACTATTGTTGTCAACAAGGAATTACTAACACTCACATGAAATCAAACATTGGCAAACTTTCTAACCATTTCCTAAACCCTTTTCCCTAATGAGATTCTTCAACACAAAATGTAGCACATAGTGAAAAAATTTTATTAACACAGAAAGCAATTTCCACCGATTCCTAGGAACTTTTCAAATTTCCTCCAGATTTATTAGCCGTACGTCATTTGGAACAAGCATGCTATTGGACTTACTAGTAGTGATGTGTAATTCAGAAGTAGCGTGACTGGCAGAGACAATTGTTAAGCACTGGCTCAGCACTACCATTTTCCAGGAACATGTTGTGGCTTTAATATAACTTCCCAAGAAATAGCTTAATCAGATCACCACAATGTACTGTTTCACAAAATGAATACCATAATCCCCAGAGGTGCCAGATAGGATGGAGTAACAGGTTAGGGTGGGTGAGGCACATCATAATAAAATAATAGAATTGGCATGACCATAAAATATGATTAGTTTAAAACATAAATAGCCATTCGTATACAGAACATATTGTTCAATATTTCACTTTAAAGTAATCAAAGTAGTACAAATTAAAATGATAATCAGTACCAATTTTGGTTTACAAAACTAGCAAACTTTTTTAAGATTTATTATTTACTTGAAATTCAGAGTTACATAGAGAGAGAAGGAGAGGTAGAGAGAGAGATACAAGTCTTCCATCCACTGGTTCACTCCCCTAAATGGCTTCAATGGCCAGAGCTGAGCTGATCCAAAGCCAAGAGCCAGGAGCTTCTTCCGGGTCTCCCACGTGGGTGCAGGAGTCCAAGGACTTGCGCCATCTTCTACTGCTTTTCCAGGCCATAACAGAGAGCTGGATCAGAAGTGTAGCAACCAGAACTCAAAACCAGAGCCCATATGGGATGCCGGCACTGCAAGCAGTGGCAGCCCCAGCAAATGTTTTTAAAGCTATGCCACCCCCATAACTCCTTGCTCTCGCTCCTCCCCTCCTCTTTCCGCCATATTTCCGTGCCGCTGCGGTGGTGCTCATGAACGTCCTGGCCGATGCTCTCAAGAGCATCAACAATGCCGAGAAGAGAGGCAAGCGCCAGGTTCTCATCAGCCCGTGCTCCAAAGTCATCGTCAGGTTTCTGACTGTGATGATGAAGCATGGTTACATTGGCAAGTTTGAAATCATTGATGATCACAGAGCTGGGAAGATCGTGGTGAACCTCACCGGCAGGTTAAACAAGTGCGGAGTGATCAGCCTCAGATTTGACGTGCAGCTGAAAGATCTAGAAAAATGGCAGAATAATCTGCTTCCATCCTGCCAGTTTGGTTTCATTGTACTGACAACCTCAGCTGGCATCATGGACCATGAAGAAACACAATGAAAACCCACAGGAGGGAAATTCCTTGGATTCTTTTTCTAGGGATGTAACAGGCATACAAATAAAAGCTCAATGGGGACCATCTCCAAGTCGCCAAGTCGGGGACTAAAGCCTTCATGGAGGCTCTGCAGGCTGGTGGCGACATCTCCATGATCGGGCAGTTTGGCATCGGTTTCTATGCTGCCTACCTGGTGGCCGAGAAGGTGGTCGTGATCACAAAGCACGACGACCAGGAGCAATATGCCTGGGAGTCTTCTGCTGGGGGCTCCTTCACCGTGCGCGCCGACCACGGGGAGCCTATTGGCCGAGGCACCAAGGTGATCCTGCATCTCAAGGAGGACCAGACTGAGTACCTGGAGGAGAGGCGGGTCAAGGAGGTGGTGAAGAAGCACTCGCAGTTCATAGGCTACCCCATCACCCTCTACTTGGAGAAGGAAAGAGAAAAGGAAATCAGTGATGATGAAGCAGAGGAAGAAAAAGGCGAGGAGAAAAAGGAGGAGGAAGATAAGGAGGACGAGGAGAAGCCCAAGATCGAAGATGTGGGCTCCGATGAGGAAGATGACAGCGGCAAGGACAAGAAAAAGAAAACCAAGAAGATCAAGGAGAAGTACATCGATGGGGAAGAACTGAACTAGACCAAGCCCATCTGGACCAGAAACCCTGATGACATCACCCAGGAGGAGTATGGCGAGTTCTACAAGAGCCTCACCAATGACTGGGAGGACCACTTGGCAGTCAAGCACTTCTCTGTGGAAGGTCAGCTGGAATTCAGGGCTTTGCTTTTCATCCCTGGCCGAGCTCCCTTTGACCTCTTTGAGAACAAGAAGAAGAACAACATTAAGCTGTACGTCCGCCGTGTGTTCATCATGGACAGCTGTGATGAGCTGATCCCAGAGTATCTCAACTTCATCCGTGGCGTGGTCGACTCCGAAGACCTGCCCTTGAACATCTCCGGCGAAATGCTGCAGCAGAGCAAGATCTTGAAAGTCACCCGCAAGAACATCATGAACAAGTGCCTCGAGCTCTTCTCCAAGCTGGCGGAAGACAAGGAGAACTACAAGAAGTTCTGCGAGGCCTTCTCCAAGAACTTGAAACCTGGCATCCACAAGGACTCCACCAACCGGCGCCGCCTCTCTGAGCTGCTGCGCTACCACACCTCCCAGTCTGGAGATGAGATGACTTCGCTGTCCGAGTACGTCTCTCGCATGAAGGAGACACACAAGTCCATCTACTACATCACTGGGGAGAGCAAAGAGCAGGTGGCCAACTCAGCTTTCGTGGAGCGCGTGCGGAAGCGGGGCTTCGAGGTGGTGTACATGACAGAGCCGATCGACGAGTACTGCGTGCAGCAGCTCAAGGAGTTCGACGGGAAGAGCCTGGTGTCGTGACCAAAGAGGTCCTGGAGCTGCCTGAGGACGAGGAGGAGAAGAAAAAGATGGAGGAGAGCAAGGTGAAGTTTGAGAACCTCTGCAAGCTCATGAAGGAGATGCTGGATAAGAAGGTTGAGAAGGTGACAATCTCCAATAGGCTCGTGTCTTTGCCCTGCTGCATCGTGACCAGCACCTACGGCTGGACAGCCAACATGGAGCGGATCATGAAGGCCCAAGCACTTCGAGGCAACTCTACCATGGGCTACATGATGGCCAAGAAGCACCTGGAGATCAATCCCGACCACCCCATTGTGGAGACGCTGCGGCAGAAGGCCGAGGTGGATAAGAACAACAAAGCAGTCAAGGATCTGGTGGTGCTGCTCTTTGAAACTGCGCTGCTGTCCTCCGGCTTCTCCCTGGAGGATCCCCAGACCCACTCCAACCGCATCTGTTGCATGATCAAGCTAGGCCTAGGCATTGATGAGGATGAGGTGGCAGCAGAGGAACCCAGCGCAGCTGTTCTGGAGAAGATCCCCCCTCTCGGGGGAGACGAGGACGCCTCCCGCATTGAAGAAGTAGACTAGGAACTCCTTGGAAACTCCTGCCCTCTGTATAGTGTCCCCGTGGCTCCCACAGCAGCCTTGAGTGGCCCTGTCCCACCTGGCCCCCCTGCTGATGTCTAGTGGTCTCTCTCCTGTCCTGTGTCCTAAGGCAGGAAACAAGGGCCTCAAGCCCCATCCCCTCCTTAATTTGACAATGGGGTTGGATGTTGTGTATTGTGGGTTTTTTTGTTGTTGTTGTTTATTTTGTTCTGAAATTAAAGTATGCAAAATAAAGATGATGCCGTTTTATACAAAAAAATTAATAAATAAAAGCTATGCCACCCAATAGTTGTTGGGAGAGGAGGGAAAACAACACTCAGCTGTACCTTATGCTGTGGGAACAGAGCGGACAGAATGATCCAACACAAGGAGGAAATGATAGTATTTGTGTAGCGTTTTAGAGAAGTAATAAATCCATCTGGCAGAGAGAAATTTCAGGCATAGCCACACTACTTCTGAATTACACATTACTATGCAACCACATTAGAAGAAAGGCAGGGCATTTTCGTACAGTGGTGAGACTTCTGATGTGATGGAGAGTTGGGAGTCCTATCCGAGTCAGGTTTCCTATCCGAGTCACGGCACCATTATGTCGCTCCCCCTCTTCGTGGGGGAACGACACAGGACCCTGCGCTGTTCTTTCGTCTGCTCGGCCCTCCCCGGGTTTGCTGCTGGTTCTTCCCGGGTTGGCTACTATCCCTTCCACCTCCGTGGAAGGGCAGTTCCCCCTGGCCGCATTCCCCACTTCCGCAGGGGAGCGGCACACCGCCGGCCGGCTCTCTCGGGGGCTGCACGGGTTCCCTTAGATGTTCCCCATAGATGTTCCTGGTGCATGCCGTTTCTCTCCTCCTTTATAGTCCTTCTCTGCCAATCCCAACTCGGCTGCCCACACGCCGAGTACGCTGCTCTCCAATCAGGAGCAAGTCCTACAGTTAATTGGTTGAACTGGAGGCAGCTGTGCGGAAGCTGTTTACTTCTCTCCCAGCGCCATATTGTGGGAGAGCAGATGCATAGAATAAGTCTTAATTCGAGTAACTTAGTCTAGTCCGGATTGCTCCCCACAGGGAAGGCACTATGGCCAAGTGGGTTAAGTGGCTTCTTGGGAAATTGGCATCCCATGTCATAGTGCTGGTTCGAGTCCCAGCTTTGCTTTTGATCCAGCTTCCTACTAATGCATCCTGGGAAGCAACAGATGATGGCTTGGATCTCTATCTATCTGTTTACTTATCTATTTCTGCCTTTCAAAGTAGATGAGAATAAATAAAAAGCATTAAAGGCGAAGCTTGGGACACCCCATCCCATATAAGAATTCATGGGCTACACTTCTGATTCCAACAACATGCTAACAGGCACCCTTAATGGAGGTCTCACATATGGATGGCAGGGGCCTAAGTACTTGAACCATCACTTATTGCCTATCACTGTGCATATTATCAGGAAGCTGAGATTAGAAGCCAGGCTAGGACTCAAACCTAGGCAATCTGTTACGGGATATAAACATCTCAAACCCCAACTTAACCTACTGCACCCAACGTTAACTCCATCCAGTTTCTAATCAGATTATTTGTTTTTTTGCTGTTGATTTTTTTGTGTTCCTTATGTATTCTGGTTGTTAAGTCCTTTTCAAAGGAGTAGTTTGCTTATATTTTCTCCCATTCTATTGGTTGCCTCCTAACTATAATTGTTTCCTTTGTTATACAGCTTTTTAGTTTTTTGGTAATCCCATTTGTCAGTTTTTCCTTTTATTGCCTGTGCTTTTAGGGTCTGATCCAAAAACTCTTTACCCAGACGAAATGTCCTAAGCAGTTCCCCTATCCTTTCTTCTAATAGTTTTGTAGGTTAAGTCTTTCAACCATCTCCAGATGAGAGATAGGGATCTAGTTTTTTTTTCTTCTGCATATGGATATCTCCTTTTCCATCATCAGTTATTGAGGAGACTTTCCTTTCTCTAATGTATATTCTTATTCTTTCTGCATTTGTTAAAAATCAATTGGCTAGGCCGGCGCCGCGGCTCACTAGGCTAATCCTCTGCTTGTGGTGCCGGCACCCTGGGTTCTAGTCCCGGTTGGGGTGCTGGATTCTGTCCAGGCTGCTCCTCTTCCAGTCCAGCTCTCTGCTGTGGCCCGGGAAAGCAGTGGAGGATGGCCCAAGTGCTTGGGCCCTGCACCCGCATGGGAGACCAGGAGAAGTACCTGGCTCCTGGCTTCGGATCCGTGGTGCGCCAGCCGCAGCGCACCAGCTATAGCAGCCATTTGGGGGATGAACCAACGGAAAAGGAAGACTTTTCTCTCTGTCTCTCTCTCTCTCTCTCTCTCTCTCTCTCACTGTCCACTCTGCTTGTCAAAAAAATAAAATAAAATAAAGTAAAAATCAATTGGCTAGGGGCTGGCGCTGTGGCATAGAGGGTTAAGCTTCCGCCTGCGGCACTGGCATCCTATATGGGTGCCTGGTCATGCCCTGGCTTTTCCTCTTCTGATCCAGCTCTCTGCTTATGGCCTGGGAAAGCAGTGGAAGCACTTGGGCCTGTGCACCCGCATGGGAGACTCAGAAGAAGGTTCCGGCTCCTGGCTTCAGATTGGCCCAATCATTGTGGCCATTAGGGGAGTGAATCAGCAGCTAGATGAACTCTCTCTCTGTCTCTCCCTCTCTCTGTAGCTCTACCTCTCAAATAAATAAATTGAATCTTTTAAAAAAAATCAATTGGCTATAAATACGTGGATTTATTCCTGGGTTCTCTATTCATTTACATTGATCTAAGTGACCATCTTTATGCCAGTCCCACGCTATTTGGGTTACTATAGATTTGTAGTATGTCTTTTTTTTTTTTTTTTAAGATTTATTTACCTGGGGCTGGCACTGTGGCGTAACGGGTAAAGCCGTCGCCTGCAGTGCCGGTATCTCATATGAGCGCAGGTTCAAGACCAGGCTGCTCCACTTCCGATCCAGCTCTCTGCTATGGCCTGGGAAAGCAGTAGAAGATGGCCCAAATCCTTGGGCCCCTCCACCCCTGTGGGAGACCAGGAAGAAGCCC